ACATCAAAGAAGAAGAAGGAGTACATGAAGTTATCAGAAAAAAGTGATGGGGAGATATGGGAGGAGTTGGAGGGGAGGGAGTGGGCATGGATTTAATCAAAACGCCTTATATGCATGTATGAAATTCTCAATAAATTATTTATTTAAATAAAAAATGAGTTGGAAAGAGGTGAGGAAGAGGTAGAAATGATGTAATATAGTACTCGTGTACAAAATTCTGAAAAAATTAAAAAATTAAATAAAAAAGAGGAATTTTTAAAAATGCCAAACCATGGAAGATGATATTTGATGAGTAATACTGAGTACTTATAAAGCACCTGTAAGCTGTGACCACAGTACTAAAAGTTTCACATATTCCAGTTGTAATCCACAAGGTCCCTCTGAGGAAGGGAACATTATTTGCCTTTTATAGATGAGGTATCCATGGCTTAGGGGTCAAGCAGCTTGGAGCAAGCCACACACCTGGCAGGTGGCAGAGCCAGGATCCAGATCCACCTAAACCTTTTCTATTGTGTAGGGTAATGTTGTCCTTAGTGGTTACCTAGCATCAGAAGTTCCAGAATGAGATACTAAAAGAGGAGAGGCTACAAGGGATGTTAAGCCTTTGTCTCCAGGAGCACTCATGAGAACAGTTGACAGGAGAGTTTAGATCCAAGACATTTAAATCTGCATTAATAGGTATAGGAAGCCAAGATAATGGAAAGCTGGGAGAATTTCCAGTCTGCTGGTTCAGGGATTGAGTGTGGACTGTGGACTGGTTAAACCCTGCTGATTTAACCAGTGGTTTGGAAATCAGATGGAAACCAGTTCTCAATGCAAATTGTTCACTAGGAGTCATTAAAGACAGCTGTGAGTTTTGAAGTGCTACCCGAGAAACTTAGCAAATTCATTTATTGTTGTTGTCCACAAGCCTCCAGATAAACTCTTGAGGACATGGGCCTGAAGCAGCCAAGATCTAGAGAAATCCAGATGTTACCTCAGTGGGAGAGAGGAGGATCATCCTTAGGCACAAAGGATTTAAAAGGTGAAAGGAGATTTAATATGATCCAGAGAAAAGGTCCAAATTGTTCCCTGGTTTAATGCTTAGAGGCTAGCTGGGAATGTTCAATTGGTTGATTTTTATATCCAATATTATCCCCTGGGATGTATCTGGAAATAAGTTCTGGAACACATTAAAATAGAAATAAGTCCTGACCATCTAAAAGTTAAGTCAGGTGAAATGCTAATATTGCTCAGAGCCTTAACTAAAGTATGTGCTTGTAAGTTTTAAGATTTGCCTCTTTTCTGTACCAGGGCTCATTATTTTTCAGGGAAGCATAATTGATCCATGATCAGACATTGCCTCTTCTACCAATTTTGTATTGGGCAGTTACTCCGAAACTTGCCTTTGGACTTTACGTTCAACAGACAACAAAGTTCAAGATATATCAAGAATATGTGTACTCTGTACTAGTCAAAAATATGACAATTCTGGGGTATACATATTTAAGAAAGCATATTTATTACTTTTTGTATGAAGTTATGTTTTTTAAAACTTTCTTGCTATGCCTAAGATTCTCTGAGCTTTTTAAAGTAAGCCAATTTTACCCTACGCTGAAGCCTCCTGAGTCCTAAGATTGTTATTGCTGGCCTAATGCCGGGTTATTTAACAAAGATATTTAACATTAGAAGATCCTTATTCATTTGCTGACAGTTCCCTCCTCTGGAGCCCACGCCCTCTATTACTTCATGTTTTGTTTTCAAGAAATCTGAACTGGCCTCCAGCTCTGGCAAATAATGCAGTTCGATAATGAGAATCTACTTGCCTGAATTGTATAAATCCCCCTTTTAAGTGTTTTAAGATACCACTTTAAGGTTTTGATTAATAAAAGGATTACATTGTTGTGTCCAGGCAGCCAAATAGTTCAATCATTATTTATCTTCAATCTAAAAATCAGAAAACCAAACTTATTGCCAGAAGTATGTGTAGTTCTAGACCTACTAAGAGAAGACCAGAGGGGAGGGGAAAAGCTAAACAGAAATCAAAGAATAGCTTTTATCTGTAATGTACTCAAGGTTACAATAATTAAAACTGGTTTTATTAAGGTATCTGTGGCAAATTAAAAACATGAAAAAGTTAAGACCACCAAAACATTAAAAAATCAAGATCTAGTCAGGTTTGCCTCTTTTATTGTTGCTATGATAAAGACATATGTACCAAGAATTACACTTTTAGATAATGTTAAATAAAATACTTTTAAAATACGCAATAAGAAATAAAAACATTTAACACTTTCTTGATCCCAGAAACGACCATAAGCAGTTGCCTATATTACAGTCAGGGTATAATAGATCATATAATGAACATGATCAATACTTCCATTGCACAATAGAGCATTCGACCCATCCATTTACCTGGCCATCTCTGCACAAGTTACAATGTGGCCAATTTCCTCTCCCAAATGCCGAGTGAGCCTGTCCTAAGCATTAGGAAGCCTTTATATGGAAGTAAAACATCAAAGAAAGATTATACCTGTGGCTATATATTTAAAAAGGATAATAAGACAGAAGAACAGCACATCTGACAAAGAACCATTATCTGAAACATACAATATTCTTAAAACTCAACAATAAGGAGCCAACCTGATTTTAAAATGGGCCAAAACCTTAATAGAGTGAGGTGTGATAGTGTATGCTTATAATTTTAGCACTCAAAAAGCTGAGGTAGGAGGACCATCACAAGTTCAAGGGGTTATATAGCAAGATCCTATCTCAA